GATCCCGGGACCTCTCGCACCCTAAGCGAGAATCATACCACTAGACCACTCAGCCGCGTTTACGTATCGAAAACGAAACTCTTTAATGTGTCGCGTCTACATCGCAAACACGCCGTCGGCGATATCGTTATGCTGCGTGAAAAGAACATTCGCTAGGGCAGCTACGAAGAAAGCAAAGATATTATGAGAAAAAATGAGCAAAAATCAATTAAGAAATAAACTTCACGTTATTCCATCTCGATTTAGATTTTTAGAAGTGCAGTTGGCCTCAGAATGGACTAGTTGCCTCATTTCCGTCTACCACTCTTACACTGTAATTACTGCTACACCTCTGGACCCTGTCATCGAAATAGTTTCAACGGGCGCAGGACTAATATAGAGTTGCCCATGTTCCACGGCTTTCTTAATACATCTGTTTTGGAATGAAATGCACTCACGCAACAAGTAGGTTTTTTATAATTTACTTCCTTTTATCAAGGATGCATGAGCAGGTCTGCTCCTATAGTGGGAAGAACACTGCCGCGATAATTTGTGTGGTCAATTTCAGAGCCAAATGAATTGACCATGCTATTAAAAATGTATTAGGGGCTCATTCCATTGTTAGCTTACAGGAACAATTTTTCAAAAGTGGTTAGAGTGAACCACCTCTCCAGCGGGGAGGTAGTGCTCAAATGTTTGAAACAGAGAACTTAAGGATTAAGCGTGGCTCAGCCCACAAAACCCTCTCTCTTCCTTGATATGATATTATTGGAGCTCATTGACTTTGCCATCGCTCATATTGTAGAGAACAACTCTTCTAAAGCCATTTAACATCACTAGCTTTGTATACACTTGAGGAAAGTTTAGGTCTTTTCTAGGTGAGAAGTGTGAGTTTGCTGGAACGACAAACTAGTCAGCTTGAGCACCCCCCTTCTCTTCTGAGCCGGATACCGCTCATTTTCTAGTCTCTGTCGTCTGGTCTGTCGACCAGGCGCGAACGTTTTCCTCGTGAAGTCAGACAATGATTCATTTCTTCTGCAAGAAAGGGAACCTCATTCTCAGCGTTCAGGATCTCTTCTCTTACAGCTTTTCTAAGTGCTGTGTCACTAGGTTCATATAGATATTATACAATATTTATCTGAGGTTGTCCGGAAAGTCTTAGCGTTTTGTGCACCTATTTTTTGTACATTCACTGCTGTTTAAAACTCTTTCTGCCTTGCTTCTCAGTAGCCAATCCTGTAGAGAATTTCTTGCGCTATCTGATGGTATAATTGCCGTTTCACCATTGCTTATTGAACTCCCTTTTTTCAAGATTTTTTCAAACATGTGAAAAGAGCACTTCGGACGATTTTTTTCTTCGACTATAAATTCGGGCAATCGCGCCAACCGAAAACAGCCAGCAAATAACCACGGTGTGGAGGGCCCAATAGTGACTTAAGCAAAACACTGTGCTGGCAATGGCACTCAACAAAGTTCGTTCAGGAGATTTCAGCATTGAAGATGAACCTCATGGCAGTCGACCTAAAGCAATATCTGACGAGGATTTTGAGGAGATTTGAAGGCTGACCCATCCCAAACAGTTCGAGAGATTGCAGAAAAGCTAGGCGTTGGCAAATCCAGTGTTGTAGATTGTTTGAAACGCATTGGAAAGGTGAAAAAACCCGACAATTAGGTGCCCCACAATCGGACGAGGACCGCAGAATCGGCGTCTCGAGGTTCCATTCTTCGGCTGCTTTTTCGACGCAAAGAATTGACCCGTTTTTGAAACGATTGTACCTGTGATGAAAATGGATCATGTATGATAACAGGAGACGTTCCGGACAGTGGTTGGATTTGGAGGAACCACCGAGGTAATTTTCAAAGCCGAACCCTCGCGAAAAAAAATTCTGGTCAGGTTTGGTGGTCATCGGCTGTTGTAATCCACTATAACTTTTCATCACCAGGCCAAACCATCACAGCAGAACCCTACTGTGAACAAACCGACCAAATGTACGAAAATATTGTCAGCTGCAGCCAACACTTATCAAAAGAAAGGGTCCGATTCTTTTGCATGACAACGCCCGCCCACACGTTTCACAAATCACTATCCATAAATTGAACGAATTGGGAGTTGAAGTTCTACCTCACCCACCATATTCTCTAGACCTTTCACCAACCGACTGTCACCTTTTCAGACATTTTCAGAACTTCCTTGCTGAAAAATACTTCATCAATTAAGACCAGGCAAAAAAGACCTTCGTAGATTTCGTGGATTCTCGACCACCCAGTTTTTCCTTTTATGGGATTTCTCGACTGCTATCACATTGGCAAAAGTGTGCTGATTCGAATGGTGCCTATTTCGTCATCCATGGATAGAAAGTATAAAAAAGATTAGTACGTCGGTTAGAAGACATCCAAACGCTAAGAACTTTTCGCGTACAGAACTGAATACAATATTTTTTCGTAATTGAATCGTGATCTCGCCGCAGTTTGTCGGTCATTTCAGTCTGAAAACACATTAAGTAACAGAAACAACTGCTCTTAAGGACGGATGTCCTCAGTTACTCCAGCAAATCGAACATCAACCGTTGTTCGGCGCGTGTGTGGTGCGTCTCACATACTCAGCGAGATTTTAGCTTAACCGCCGGCTTATTTTCACCAGCCGACAATAATTAGTCAGAAAACCACTGGATTTCATCCAGTTTTTCGGAAAAATGATAGAGACAGAGCCGCAGGCCAAACCCACCATGACACGCCCCTCACCTTGCAGCGACAAACAGGACTATAGCCTGAATCTTGGTCGTTCAATCCTTTTCCGATTTTCATTCCGCACGGCATTTCTGGTATTCTGAACTATGACACTAGCTACCTTCAACCTTCTTTTCTGCACACATGCGGCAGCGCCTCTACTACCCGGTTAGCATCATATCGACTTCTGCTTCCAATGCCTATTACGTACTATGGGAGTGGAGGGAAGCAAAGCTGATCAAGCGCACGATGAGTGGAAGCGGGATTTTAGTCCAGTATTCACCGTAGGAAAGGGTAGAGGGATGGTGCACTGACGTCAGCAGGCGAGCCAATCGGTAACAACAGCAAAGAATATTAGCACCTGCTTATAAGAAATGGTGACCAATCACTAAGGCTGGAAATAAACTGATTGTGTTGAATATCGTCACTGAAAAAAATCCGAAAAAAACATGGTCAAAAGAAGCATGATATTTAGAGGGCGAATCATCTCTTTTTTGTATTGAGGATCCAGCTGCACTTAGAGGACGATCCTTGAAAATGAAATGCATCGCATTATCAATCAGGACGATAGTGGTATCAATTTCCAGGACAGATAGATAGACGTAGCAAACTATATATAATGTAGAAGATTGTCATGTACATGCAGTATATAAGCAATACGATATCTCTGACAAATATTGCCGTTTAATTAAATAAATATTTGTTATCTTAAACATCTAAGAATACTTTTCAGCTGGAATGGAACTGAAACAGTTTGTTCAGAAAGGCCCATACGTTCAGTTGATCGGTACCTACAAGATCTTTACCCGAAACAACGTTTTCCTAGCTTCACTGAGTTTTCTTCTACTATCAAGCTTCTCTTTTCACAGGCATTTTCCAGCCTTGTTTTCCGTCATTGAATGTATTGTGTTCGTTCGGCCTTTGATCAGTTCCTTTCAATTTTGAAATAAATTCTAGAAAAGTATCAGTCTTCATATGTTCCTCTTGTGTTTGTATGGTCAGTAGTCTCTAAATCTTCGTGAATTCCCAAGTAGCAGCGCTCACTCCAGAAGAATCAGTTAGCAGTAAGATTTTCAAATGAGGGAATCCTTTCATTTACTGCATAGAAATGCATCGAGTACTCTTTTTTCCATTAGACAACTTGATCAGGCGTAGGTGGTGTAGAAGATCCAGGCACTGTTCGTCATGCCTAGGAAGTGTGGGTGGTCTGTGAGAGTCCATGTGATGTGTGGACGCCCAGTTCTGTGATCCCCGACAAATTTCGCCCATATCAACCAAGCTTTCCACCCCACAGGGTTGGCGGGCTGCTTGACACAAAGCTGTTGGCTATACCAATGCTCACTTAAAGGGAAAGTCACATTCTGTGTCCCTACGATGCTGAATAAAAGTGGAACACGTGGCGCATTGCGGAAAGGATCCCACTGTGCCCACAGTGCAGCGTCATTTATCCCGGATCGGGCTCGAAAGACCAAGTTCATTTGGTTCTGCTACTCGTAGAGTCCAGTTTGACCTCTTATCCACCTTGTTTACTAGGGTATTAGGCGCACCAACCTTTGCCGTGAACTCCGCCAGTGCTTTTTCTGGCTCCCCTTATGTGTACAGTCCTTATCCCTGAGACGGAGTAGGCGTGGCATTTGAACATGCATAGAATGGGTTACTCGTGGGATATTTCTTGAGACAACTGTCATCTTGTTCAGTGTTGGACAGAGACATGACCACAATTGTGTCAAAATGAAAATATTTCTCCGAAAGGACAGCCACTACCCCAGATACATAGTTGAAGTACGCAGCCACGCCTATCTCATCTCAGGAATTTCGAGATTATTTGTTGCCTTCTCTTGTTAATGACAGTGATCTATTTTTAATTGGAAGCGCTTGAAAACCGTTTTGGACGTCAAAATATGCAAAAAAGTCTAAAAAACAGCCGATGTGCTGAGAAACTTGTCGCGCTCATTGTTGCGACCGTTTCTGAGAGCATGCGTATCAAATCTATTCGTTTTGGAGTAGCACCTTTCAATATGGTTGGATTATAGCATTTCTGGCCAATTTCCTAGAAATCTACCTTATTTCCGATAATTTCTCTTGCAGTTGCGGAAATTCTACTTTTTTTAATTGCAGATTGTCTGATGTCTTCTCTCATTTCTATTTTTTCTGTTTCATACTGCCTTTTTTACTAACAACTGGCACCGCGTCAATTTCCTACACGAATTTTCATCGATTTCTCCGGACACGTCAGAAAAATTTGGTTATGGTGAATTTATTACTACTCTAATTTTGTTGCAGGTAGTCACAGGATGTCGACATTGACGAAAATTTTTATCACCGTTATAGTTGTAGCGTCTCTACCGCAGTCGTCAGCATTTAGCATTCGAGAACTGATACGAGGAGGAAAGCGAGGCGATTCGACGAGTAAGCAAGGTTATTTTATTACCTTATTTGTTTCATTGTTTAATAGTCGAGGGCTATTAGGCGCCTTGCTCAGCAAGTTAAAGTCATGTCTGGTGTGGATGAAGGGGCGTGTCAATGACACCGTGTTTGACATGTTGCCAGCCTATTCTGTTGAAGCGAGCAAGCGACAACAGTTGAGGTAAAGTGACTGGTACGAAGGGTATAATCACCTGCCGATAGAAAAAAAAGAATCGGGCTGGCTCTGCGCTAAACCTCCACCCCCCCGCCCCTTATGACACGCCTCGCATCAGGGTCCGCAGCGAACAATGCTGTAGTTTTACTTCGTATTCGCTCCAGACTGGTTTTAATGCGGTGCATGATTAGGATGTTCTATTGCGAGCATGCTCTGAAAGAGGCGTACAGTCATCCGGACATAAGTTGATAGGACGGCTGGAAGGTCGCAGACGAATTGGAGCAGGCGACCGCATACGTAGGACTTTAGCGGCGATGCAGCTGTTTACAGTGCGTTTAGCCATTTTTCCTTGTTTTCGCACTGGTATTTTTTGTTTGTTTTTCAAAGGTACGAATGAAGTGGTTTTTTTCTGACAATTTTTTTCAGGGTATTTGTTTTGAGCCTGCTTTCTCATTTGGTCTTTTTTTGGTTGGCTTCTTCTCATTTACTATGTTTGTGTAATAAATAGATAGGAACACAATGGCGGTAGGGTAATGAAAAAAGGCCAGTCAAAAGGATCTAAAGAAAAACGAAGTGATCAAGCAAATATCTAATAGAGTTAAACACTTCTCAAAGCAATCGCTTGAGAAAGTCGTCAAAAGACACTTCGACGCAAGAATTAGAGAAATTTCAATTGTAGCTCCCTTATGAAGACAAGAAACAACTAGCCCTGAGAAAAGCAGCCAAAAAACATGTGGGGAAATAGGAATTTAATAAGGCCGGAAACAGTGATCCTCGAGAGCGTCTAGGCCCTTCGCTAAATGCATTCTGCTTCTGGCGAACCCTTCAGCCGCCTAATCAACTGGTCCGCGATAACGACTGTAGCATAGCGGTGTCGTAGGCGTGCGGTGCAAACAGGGAGTATGGCGCGTGAAATGAAAGGGATACGCGTAAACCGGGGTAGCTAAGTTAGGATACGCTGTCAGGCAGGCAGCCAGCGCCTTTCCTGACCCGCGCTCTTGCAAACTGAAGGCAGTCTGTGAACAAGAGTTGTGAATGTCTTGTTCGCTAGGTGAATAATGAGGCTGTCATCAGGGATATGGTCTGGCGCGGGTCACGCAGACGCCTTTACCCACTTGCTGAGAGCGAGCAAGCAAGGAGCCTGTGTTCTCTCCTTCATACTGTTCGTTTTTCCCACCGATTGTTGTTGCTTTCCCGTTCCAACAACTGGTGGAGAACGAGCTGGCGGCCCGTCAAACCCACCATCGTGACATGGCCCATCTTCCACAGCGAAGAAATCTGTAAAATGATCCACGGAGAGGATCGCAGTAAACATATGTACTAAGAAAAAGGCTACACTCTGACTATTAGCAACATTGCAGTATTTTGCATTTCCAACAAGGTTCCTATGCATGGCGCACTCTGTACAGCGAATAAACAGCGTGCTCTAATGCGTATGGCATAAGTGGACCATAAGTGGATTTAAGAGTATCCACTCTTTCTGCTTTTATTTAGCCTCAGACTATCTGGCCGCTCCTGTAGTTCAAGGTCTCGCGCTCTGACAACGTGTTGAGAGGGGGATGTGGGTAGTGGCAAGTGGTACACTTACACTTCATTCTTTATCCTTTCAATAACACCTACGGATTGGTGTGCACCTCGCACCCTCTGTGGTGAGGTGCGCGACATCGCGCGCTGACTTCTTGTTACACACCATTCCGCAAAAGCCATAACTAGCGAGATGAAGTGTAATGTGGGCATTTTTCCTCCATTTCCTTTAGTTGAACACGAGCTTGCTGAATTGATGAGCGAACGATGTGGTACATTAATGATTTTTCAGCTCCTTGCCCCACTTGGCACCCTTTCGAATGCCCGTCCGGTGAGTGCGTTCCCATCAAATATCTATGCGACGGTTCTCCTGATTGCTCCGACGAGTACGACGAAAATAAAAGCATGTGCACTGCAGGTATGTGACAGAAAGTACAAATTGAAAATTATTTATTGATTAGCTATCGATCCGATACAGTGTACTTTCCATGTTCCTGCTACACTCCCCAGTTATCCACGTGTTTGGCATCGAAGTGGCACACACGCCGCCCACCACCCTCTCGAACAACTAAATTTGCAGGTGTGGGACCTTACAATCATGTCGAGGTCACGCTAACTTAGTTAGGTCGTAATTTTGCACCACTTTGTCAATTAGGTCCTGGTGCGAATGGCGCTCATGTGGTTATCACAGCGTGGATGTAATGCCACACCCCTCAAATTTGCCACGGTTGTACAAAAGTTTGAGATCACTTCATCTGGTAGCCGAGTTTTCATTTGAAATTGTAACGTTTACGGCCATGGACACTTCCGGTATAATATGGGTTGGAATATTATTTGTTTCTTTCTAGACCCGTCCAGTCTCCGGCAGCTTTTGCGATCTCCTTTGCTATGATGTGCTCTGGCGCTTTCTCTGTACGGTTACCTCCAGGTCTATTCCTGCAATCTAATGGTCTGACTGGACGTACAAAGCAGGTGTATTATATAGGAAAGGAAGCGGATTATCATGATTACACAATCAGCCCTCTTGTAGCCCTTCCTGGTTTCCTAGCAGCTCTTCTCCCCTAGCACTTCCCCCAGGGTACCATCAGGCATCCTGCGTAAGGGCAAATACGCCTGCCTGCATTCACTCAGTACCTATTGAAGGGTATAACCTGCATTCAGAGAATTTTCAGGCGGAGAGTTCAAGCCACGAATCGAATAAGATAAAATAAAAATAAAATAAAAAAAAGGATTGAGTCTTAGAAATCTTAGCATCTGCTATAAAGTTGAAAATTACTTTCAAAGTTGTATGGCTAGACTCTATACGAAAACACTACAGGGGGGGGGGGCAAAAAAAAAGTGCATTCGGCGCCGAGCCACATTATCAACCAAAGTATTCGCGAGGCCGCAGACAGGGGAGTGATATGAGTACCAAGAGTGGAAGATACCCAAGATCTTCCTCTATAAGCTGGAGCACGCTGCCGCCAATCGCCTTCATGTACGCCAAAATATGAAGTCATCTCCAGTCGCGGCCTGACTGGAGAACACCTTTGGAATTCACGTCGCCTCCAAACAGCTGCGAAACTTCTTGAATGAAGTCATCCACAGATAGCTACCTGGAGGTCAGTACTCTTGACCTGCAAGACCTCCCACATCGACCAGCTACGGCAACGTCGCTACCGGTTCACGGACAAATCAATCATTCACCCATTCACCAAGGCGTGGTTTGATGTGTGGGACGCGCCGGTACCTGAAATATAAAAAGACCGATATTTTTTCTTTGTAGACCCCGACTGAAGGTGAGCGCTGGCGGTTACATCAAGTAACTCGAGAAGAATATCCTCCCTACATGTGGTCGCCCGTACCTTCTTGGAGACCTTGTGCTGCTACAGGTTGGGTGCCACCACATGGAATCGAAGGGTTTTGGAAAAACTCCCGCCTACTTCGAATGGAAGGGCGTTTCGTACCTAGAAGAAGAGTGTATATTGAAGTATCCCTGACAGCTGGAACCCACTTCAAATTACCTAGTTCGGGCGGAGCTCAACAGGGTGGTCTACAGTGGCGGAGAAATCAACGATCTCGCTCAACTCCGGTACCCACTCACTTTCGCGCGGCCGAATCTCTCGATGGCGCTCCTCCAGAAGGCTGTGGCGGAGTATCATTATAGTATTTAATGTGCTCTTTAATATGGTAGTAAAAATGTCCGATAAAAATTTAATAAAGTGTAACTTATAGCGCCTTGAAAGTCATGGAGGCAAAATGACTTTTTTTTGCCCCCCCCCTGTAGCTTCGCTCACGGCCTCTGGCCAGAAAGTAACGGGGAGAATATGGGCGGAAGCGAGCTCTTCACCTTCAATAAATAAATTCCTTCAAGTATAACCTGGAATGGAGGTCCACATTTCGTTGGAAACTGAAAGTTTTCTTTCTAACGACGACTCGGGGCTTACAGCTTCGTACTGCATAGGCTCACTTACAGCGAAAGTTCGCTGTCGCAGAAAATCACAACAACAACGCGGGAAATTTTGTCAAACACTGAGTTTTTTTCAAGCCTCCAGAAGGCCAATAAACTTCCGTTAAAGGCATAATCTAGTACGTAGATCTACACGGCGTTGGGTTCTATTTGAATGTCAGCTTCAGCTTCAGAAAGAGGGTCTTTCCCTTGTAAAGCCCACTTTCCATCCAGAAAGCTCGGTGCCTTCCGTACACGCTCTTACAGTGAAACTACGAAATCGCAGGGCACAGGGGCGCTGATCGAAACCTCCATAGAATGAGGCATTTACGCGACTCTCTTTCCGAAAGCACAAACTACGTCGCTGCTGCGTTCAGTGCTGATCCCTACAAATACGACCCCCCCCCCTCACGAGGGGCCGTATACAACTCCTCCGTCGCGGATGCTTGACTCTGGTAGGGAGATGGATACGTATTTTGCACTTTTGCTAGTTTCTGTTGTTAGTTATGGTAAATTGAACGTCTCACCATAGTGAGAGCTGTGAGCTCTTGTATAATGGAAGTGAAGCTCATGCTGCTGCAAAGTTTTGCAAGAATCTACAGGTATCCGAGCAGTGGTCGATGAGAACCAGCGGAATGCTCATACCAAGCTGAACTGCGCCTTTATTGTTTACTGACATCTTGAGATCAAATTCAATGATTCTATGAAGGATTTCTGTCGAAATCCTATGAGGGATTTCCGTTGACGTCAGAAGAACCTCCCCTCTCTTTATTATGTGTTCCGCATCGTCAATGGTTTTGAATGCTTTTAGAGAAATGGCTTTGATTCCAGTTTGGACGTCATATGCGACCATAAATATCCCAAAACTCATATCGCATGGGGCTAATGGCTCAACCCCAACGGAATGGCCTATTACGCACGAATTCAAGCAAAAGCAAGAATCTCATTCTAAAATCTTAGAGGGGATACCAAAATCCAAAAATAAACCTTTTACAATAACCAAAATACAACCAATAATGTGGTAAATGATGAAAGGTAAAGCTTTTGGCATTGACAAGGGTTTTTCGGAATACATCACCCACTCAGGCCATATTCGGTGTATACATTAAGGTGCAGGGCTAGCTGCAGAGCTAGCTCTGAACCATAGATTTTTTTGTCAACGGAGCTAGGGATACTTAGGTGGGCTGAATTGGAGTAGGTCCGAGGGTTCATCTTCAGAGCATGCGTCGTGAACCGTGACACTTCCCTTTAGACCGTTTCCGTCCCTCTCAACACTTTCACTTCTATTTCGTTCTTTTCATGCAAAATCAACTATAAGATTTTTTGATTAACCTTCGACTTCTCTATTGAAATTATCGACATTGTTTTCGGAAACCATTCTATTGAAGAACAATTTCCTAAAAAAATCAAATTTTGAGAGAGAGCCATGAGGCTCAGACGAAAGAGAAAGAGTCATATGGTTTGATGGAGAGTCGGTTTAGGGAAACGCAGCCGTCTCCTCCTTTAGCCCTCCGATTGCTCCTCCACCTTCAGGCACTATCCTTATCGTAGTCACTCCCCCTGCATAAGAAGCGATGAGATTCCTTGGAAACCCCTAAAAATCACTGCCTACAGGAAACAATTGCCTTGCATGATAGCTTCTATGATAATAATGGAAAGTCAAAAAAACCATTTCCTTCGAAACAGTTGTGAATTGAGCTGCCGAGTATTGGAGGAAGCTGGCCCAGTTCAATTTTTTCAAAGCGTTTCATGATCCTTATCATTCTCTTTCAGCAACGAGACCACCTGTAGAAGAGACGTCGGCATTCCTCTGAAGGCGCTTCTTACGGCTCACGGCAAGGACTTCCTTGTCAAGCGTATTATTATTATTATTATTATTATTATTATTATTATTATTATTATTATTATTATTATTATTATTATATTATTATTATTATTATTTATTATTATTATTATTATTATTATTATTATTATTATTATTATTATTATTATTATTATTATTATTATTATTATTATTATTATTATTATTTTATTATTATTATTATTATTATTATTATAAGGTCCATTTCATCACTGTGAATCATGAACTGTAGCAGTAGCGGACTGAGCGCTGTCATGTGTTTAACTTCACAGTTTATTGTGGGAGAGTTGCAAAACCTTTTCCAATATTCGTACTACGGTGCTGAGGGATAACTCAGGGGTAGAACACTTCCGCTCATGTGTTCTTTATATGAGAGTCAGCTGAGTGCGAGATTGGCACTATCCAACTATTACCATCCCAAAAAATCAAAAAAAATTTTTTTGCGGACTTTGCCGACAGAGTATTCGGTGCCTGTTCAGAATATGGCCGACGATATTCGTAATGCTTAAATTGCCCATGAAGGTTTGTTTTATGTCCGATCACGGATACCGAATTGTATTTCAGTCTGGCGCCATTTAGGCCCACCCTGTTTTATCAAATCGGCTGAAAAAACTGCATAAGCGCGCACTCCATTTACGCTTTTCTGAGGCTGAGCCTTGGGGCAAAAAATGTGGGCTTCCAATCGGTCAGGCTCAGCCTTGGCAAGAGCGCGGATATCGCGCCACGCTGTCCCGATCGCAGCCAACGCCAAAGATGAATGCGGTATTTGTAATCAAGATGTCAAATAACCTCCGTATACAGTTTACGGCGGATTTGGTGAGCTAGAGTATTTGGGCGCCGGAGCTTCGCGCGGCGCACCAGCGGGTTTTAGGCCTGAAACGGATGGAATATTAGTTTCAGGGAGGCTCGACATTTGACTACACCAAACTGCAGCAATTAGCCCGTAGAGAAACGTCATCAAGATCCGGCCTGTTTTCGGAAATTGCGTAGTAATAGTGATAGTGCGCGATGGTTTCCAGAACGAAACCTCCCTCCTGCGTGAGAAAGTACGAAGAACTGGCACAGTCATGCGGAATTGTTATGTGTGATGCATGAGGCGAAGGTGTCGAGTGCGGCTACATAGTGCAACGAGTTCGTTCTCGCTTGGCAGCCTATCGGTCTGGTCCTTACTCTCTCGCCCTCTTGTCTAGTATTGCCAACGTTTAGCAGCGATCTTAGCTCAAGCTGAAAAATGCTTGGATTAAAAATGTCTGGGTTCTATTTGGCGTGTTTCGAGCTTTTTATTGCTGCACGTCAGCAACAAATGGCAGGGGGCGGGCAACGGATGCGTTCAGACGTTCGTAATGCACGTAATCTTGCGAGTAAAAATTTTATTTCTACTGTACACCTAAGCAAGGAGAATATCTTCATAGTTTGGATTCGGTTTAAGTTGTTCCGTCAAAAGCTTAAGGGAGAACTGTCGCGATGGCGGTGTGGATAAGTCGCCGTCGCATATACTGGATTTGCAGGATGTTTCCTGGAGTTTCTGATGAAGGAAAGAACCATAGATTTCCTGCGAAGCATAAAAATGAGCTTAACATGTCAGAAATCCAACAGCGACTTGATTTGATCGAAATGAAGCTGTTACGAAGAACGGAGCATGAAGTTTCTGTACTGAAGCATTTTGACGGATCACGATGAACTCACCTCTAATGAAGCCGCTGATTTCCGCTTTTCGCTGCAAAATTACAGTAATGATATCAAACTCTTAGTCGTGGGGTTAATCAAAGTTAGTAAGAGAATGAAGTAAAAAGCTTCAAGCATTCAGAAAAAAACGCGTTCCTATTGTTTCGGAAGATTGCCATGACTAATACTATTTCGAACATTCTTTGTGTTGTTCTTATTACTTTTCCTAAATTTCGTTAGGTTCGAA